TAAAAAAAATAAAAAAAAAATAAAATAAAAATAATAAAAAAAATAAAATAAAAGAAAATAAAAATAAAATAATAAAAATAAAATAAAATAAAAAAAGAAAAGAAAAAAATATAATAAAAGAAAATAAAATACAAAAATGAAAAAACAAAAAAAAAATAATAATAAACGTACAATGAAATAAATTAACAAATAAAAAATAAAAATAAATTAAATTTAATTAACTGAAATAGAAAAAAGAAAATAGAATACATAAATAAAATAAAAGGAAATAGAATACAAAAATTAATTAAAAAAAATAAAAATAATTTCAAATAAAATATATATATAAAAAAATTAAAATAATTTTAACAAAAACAAAAATTAAAAATAAAAAAATTAAAAATAAAAAATTAAAAATAAAAAAATTAAAAACAAAAAAAATAAAAATAAAAAAATTAAAAATAAAAAAATTAAAAAAAATAAAAAAAAAAAAAAAATAAAATAAAAAAAAATAAAAATAAAAAATAAAAAAAATAAAAAATAAAATAAAATAAAATAAAATAAAATAAAATAAAATAAAATAAAATAAAATAAAATAAAATAAAATAAAAAAATTAAAAAATAAAAAAATAAAAAATAAAAAAAAAATTAAAATAAAAAAAATTAAAAGATAAAAAATTGAAGTAAAAAAGGAAACATACAAACATATAAACAAACGAAAATTAAATTTATAATGTTATGGAAATTTAATAATATATTGTTTTAATAAAGAAAATACAAATTAAATTCAAACTAAAATAAATTGAAATGAATGTCAAATAAAATTATTGAAATTTTGTTTGTCAAAATAATATTATAGTATAGTCCCAAATATCGAAAATAAAAAAAAAATTAATATAAATAAATAAATTTAAAAAAATCAATTGTAATAAAATATTGTCGAGTATTAAAATTATTTCAGAAAAACCGAATATTTTTGTATAAAATATAAGTAGCAAATATATTAGTATTAACTGCAAAGTTGAAGGTAAGCTTCAACTCACTCTCACGTCCTTTTGCTATTTATTGCCATTGCTCCTTTCACGTTTCTGGGTCATCGCGACTCGCTTATTTATATCTCCACTAAACCAAAAAACAATTTCGCCATTAATTACCACAATTTTAGCTGCAAAGAAAATAATAAAAAAATAACAAAATATCTTAAGAAAATTATATAGAATTTACTTAAAGTAAAAATATTCCTCCAAACGACACAAAGGCGGACACAAAAGTCAGTATGATATTTTCATAGCCACACATGCACATCCAAATATATATGTATATTAGCAAGTTTGTGCGGTTTTAATGTCTATGTCGCCAGCGCCAATTGTCAGACTGACAGCTACAAAAGGTGAAGCCCCAACGAGACAGGCCGTCTCGCCTAGCCCCTCGTTCTCCGTGTTGTCTTTTCGCCATACTTTTTGGTTTGCAAGATCGGCAGCGATCGTCTGGAAGACCATCACTACCGTCACCACCACCAAAGCACGCCTACTTTTTACATACAGTCCCGCCATCAGACGCCTAAAAATAGATGTCATCAAACACAACGCATTCGTGCTTTACTTGTATGTATGCAAGCTGTGCGCTGGGGAGTGTTAACTTTGGGGTCCGTGCTGGCAAAGGGTGTTGCTTGTTGCTTTTGCTGCTGAAATTGAACTTTAATCTCAAGCGCCCAACAGGCAACACAAGTATATACATATTTACATGCATACTTTTTAACAAACTCATTGACATGTTGCGACGGCTGTCTATGTATTTCTATATACATACTTAAATATGTAGAAATGCACCTCTTGTACTACACGCGATCTTGCGCGATTCATTGTTGCATGCAGTTAGGTGCAGGGAGGGACACGCGCGCGCCCGTCTTAGCTGACAACAAGACAAAACGTATGTATTTTTAGCTCCTGCTGGTGGCAGCTTCTTTATTTCATTAAAAATGTCTACGGCAGGCGGCGCCGACTTCGACGCATCAACCCCGTTGACGTTGGAAAATGAAAATAAACTGGAAACAATTTATGGGCGGCAACAACTGAAACTGGCGGCAAATATGTGCTGGAAATTTATTAATGCAGTTTTGTCGTATGTGCATATGTACTTGTACATACATACTTACCGTAAGCGTGCATACAATTATGGCTTTAGCACTTTTGTAGCGTTAGACCTTCAGCAGATCAAACTGCTGATCATACGTACGACTTGACGCGATCAGTGGCAAAATCTATGCAACATTATTCGCCACATTGCACATCACCACTCGATGTAGCACCTACAACTCACTAAAAGCAGCAGCAGCAGCAGCACCTTTTTTATGGTTATTTTGAGGTGCAAGCGCGCGAATGCTTTCTTTTCGCCTCTTCAAAGGTGTTATTGCAACGCGAGTGCTGCTCTTGCAACATGCTTTATACTTGATGCTTGCTGTATTGCAATTTATTGAACACTATGCGGTGCTTTGTGTCGTCTCATTTGCTTCCTGCCGTGCCCATATATATCTTTTGAATCGCCTACTGTTTTTTATATTATTATTTATTACGTTTTCAATATTTGTATGTTTGCTAAATTTATTGTTGCTAGTTTGCCAATAACATATAATATATGTATTTTTAAGCAATGCAATGCATTTTTTGATTTATAAATTACATTTTTTTCTATTTACTTCGTCGAGCACTCGCACCCTTGCTGTTCAGCGCGCTCACTTCTGCACTTGTGCTTTACTGCTTTACTCTTTACCAAAAGAAAAAAGAAAAATCATAAACTGCCGATTTTTGATTTGTGACTTGCAATAATTTCCTCTTCAGCGCGCCCAGTTGGTTGCCAACGCGGCCGCTGCGCCGCAACACTGACGATCGTTGTTAAACGCCGCTGTTGCATCCCTTCACTCGGACGGCGCAAGCGCGCATTTTGATCGCTTACATACGTTCGATATTTCAATGCCTTTTGCGCGCTTCAATGCCTGCCTGCTACGCGAAAATAATTTTAACAATATTGTTTTTCTTATTTTTTATTTCAATTTTTTTTTTTTTTTTTTTTTTTTTTTTTTTTTTTTTTTGAAATTCTTACATGCCACATTTTAACAGCGCTCATCGTTTCATATATTTTTGTTTCGGTGTGACCCTACACTCGGCATCGTCCAAGCGTTTTCATGCAATGTATTGCCTTAACTGCAGTTCATTTGAACATTTCCGACTGCCCACGTTCGGAGGAAACAAAAAATGATAAAACAAAATATAATATAAAATTTATTATTAAATAATATGAAAATTTGAGCAACACAAAACTTGTTTTTCTATTAATTTGGCTTCAAATTGATAAATGTACAACAATTTCTGCTTGTGAAATCTATACGCTTTTTGGTGAATTGCAACAACTTAAAAAATTCACATTTATCATTTTCTTACTTATCATTGTAGGAAGCGTTGCACGCCTACATACATGCATGTTATTAATGTTATTCAATTTTTTATGCTACTTTTTGATAAACAAATAAATATTTTCTCCTCCAATGCGCGCGCAACCTGTTGTTTGAAAATCGAAAGCGAATCTCTTGCTATCATGACTCCGGTGAATGGTCGACCAAGGCGTTGGCGCATCCTCCTCTGCATTTTCTTGGCAACTAAATCTGCATTTATTTTCTACTTCAAAATTTACAAATATTTCCATTATCGTATTTTAACACTAACGTTAGTCGCCGCCGCGTGTGTGTGTGTTATCTATTTTTTCCAGTTTTTTGTAATAATATTTTAAAATTTTCTAATCGTTGCTGTGACTGTGTCTATTGAGGTCACTTTGGCAAGTAGCTCGCTGCACGCATGCGCACACAGTCGCTCACTCTGTCTGGCGCGCAGCCACCACCTGCACGATGAGCGCCTGTTGTTTTTGACGGCGCGCACATATTTGCATTTCAAATGCATGCAACTGTTTGTTGCGCCTTCACGCTTACCGTTGTTACTATGAATTTTGCTACTTGATTGCATTATTTGTATACACACGCTACAGTAAAGAAAAAGCCAAAGCACAACAACAGCGCAAGTGTGTGGGTCAACCACACGAACAAACTTGATTTTTTTATGTGAATTTTTTCGAAACATTTTTTTTTTTACAGCTTTTAACTTGTTAACGCTGCTGCGTAGGCGTCACGGTTTTTTTTCACAACGCCTTTTCACTTTTATTTAACGTTATTTTCCAGTTTTTTCCTGCGCTGTCATACTAAGTAAACACTAATCGTGTGCTTATCACAATTTATTAATTTGTCACTAATTTGAATTTGCATATTTTTTTCAACTTTTCTTACGTCTTTTATTTAATCTTGCACAACAAAGCTAATGGCGTGTGCTTTACGCTAATATTTTCACGTTTCATCTTGTGTCTTCCTTTCCGAGTGATCGCCATGGATCGACGAACGGCAAAATTTCTCTTTACTGCCTTATTTATTGTAGTTTTTTTCCAGCGGAAATCTGTTGTTGATAGAAAAAAAAATTCCGATCATGTCGTGTTTACTTGTACTGCGATCACTTGCGATCGCCAGCATATTTTTATCGCTAAAATTGATCAGCACTTAAGATTTACATCCGCTAAAATTGGTATTTATTTAAGGTAGTGGTTAATGTATTTTAAAAGTAAGCTTTTGCCTGCCGAATTTTAGTTTGCGTGATAACCGAACAAATGTGGGGGGAGTGCTTTTTGTAATGTCTTTTATATTTATTTTTATTTGTGCTTTTTGTAGTATTTTTTATATTTATTTTTAATTGTATATAAATAAGAATTTTCTATTATTTACCACTAAACATATTTATTACAGATATTTATGTCTGCTACATTTATGCATGTTTATTCAAAATTCAATTTGAATACCGATCCTCAACGATCGCAACAAAATCTTTTAAATTTTTTTTTTTACAAAATCTGCTCAGGAATTGATATATACATTTAAATTTCAATATCTATGCTTTTATTTATGCATTTCTACATTTCTCTACTTCCAGGGCACGTTCACGTTGATCGTCGAGGCATTGCATGATACGAACAATAGCGCTAATGCGCGTTCAAGCAGTAAGTTGCAGTTTAACATTATTAGAAAATTTATTATTTATTTACTTACTTTAATTTTAAATTTGAAATTCAATTTAAAATTTATAGGCCTTCTGTCTTCTAAGAAATACTTATATAATCAATATATATTTAGGGTGATCGTGCCAGTTTGATTCTCGAAGGAAAAAAACCTTCTTAGCGTTCGCACATGTCAAAAAGTTCTTGTTTCACCCCTTAAATTGTCAGTTAATTTTGTTTAACTTCCTCAATATTTGAATATCAAGTTTTTATTATTTCCTTGAAAGCGTATGATCGTTTGTATGCTGATCACTCATTTGTTGAGGCCTATAATTGCTTCCTTTAACAAGCCAGAAATGTAGAAATATGAATTTTGAATATTTTTCTACAGTCTTATGCGCGCATTAGTTTTAATATCCTGTTTGTGTCATCCTTTTTGCGCGCACATCCTGTCGTAACGCAACAAAATAAGACACAAACAAAAAATATGCTGATCACCGTAAGTTGTCCGAGGATCATCAACATTTTAACTTTTGTTTGCTCAACTTCTCTGCGTTATATGATATCCTTTTTGGCAGCGTGGTATGTGTGTTATATATATTATACTTCTAAAACCTAAACGCCTGACACTTGCGCATCATCCTGATCATAGTCGTCAGTCAACCCTTCTGTGCATGGTTTGCTACCCAATACTGCGCTATTTTTTTTTTTTTTTTTTTTTTTTAACTTTACTTTACTGTTGTCTTGCAACGACTGATATGCTTACCATATACTACTTTTTGTTTTTGTGCAGATTTCCGGCATATTGAGTGGTTTTAAATGTCAGCTTTTGTTGTCCCTCTTTTTAATTCATTAAAGGCAGGCAGTATGGGCATATGTACATATGTATGTGTTCGAGTATACTACAATATATATGTCGCTTAGGACAATGTCAGTTGCCACAGCCCTAACGCTGCCAGCTTATCCGCTACTTGAAGCTCCCGCATACTGCACACTTGGTTCGTGGTGTGGCGTTTAATGTGTTCTTGTCTTCTTGTAATTGTTGTTGTTTTTCATTTTATGTTTGTAATTTTTCTTTCATAAAAACCTTGAAAATACGTCGCACTTTATTTAATGCTTCTCTTACTGCTTACATACTTGGTATCTGTTTTATTTGCGGCTGCCACAGAACGGAAGTGTGCATGCCGCTTGCTTTTGCTGCGCTTAACCTCTGTCTCTGCTAGTCATTGCTAGTCATGTTTTGTTTTGTTTGTTTTGTATCCTCTTTTTCTGCACTGAAATTCGCTTCGTTTTTTCACGACTAATTCACCATTTAGTTGGATTTAATTTAATTTTAGCTACAATTAATTTACCAACAGCCGTGCGCCATCTTCTCTTCTCCCTCTGCGCTGCTTTCAACAGCGTACAACACCCGCTCCACCGCCCCCTGTACATCAGCTGCTACAAGCTCCAGCAATTACTTTGACGTGTAGCAGCACTCCGTTGTTGGGCCGTCGTTTCTGCTGCTGCTGCTGCTGCCTGCCAGCCTGCCTGCCTGCCGCTCGTTAAATGTTGCAAATATTTTAATCCAGTCAGCAGTCATTAAAAAGCGCCGCCGAATCACGACTTTTGTGCGCGCTGACTAACTGCCTGATTGTCTGCATGTTTTCCACCCGTTGCCCGCCGCCCAACTGTGACTGGCCCTCCTTAGCTGTTGAAGCTGTCGTCTTGCCTGCTGTTGTTATGTTTCATTGTCTACTTTTGCAACACCACGCAACATTTCAATGTTGCACGCGCTCTTTCGTTTTTTTTTTTACTTTTGGTTTAGCGTTCAGTATAGCTCCTGTTACTGCTGCTGCTGCTGTTCCTTGGCCGTTTGCCGTGTGGAATCGCAGAAATAACTCGCGTACTATCAAATTTTAAAATTGTTTCTCTTTTTTTTTGGCCGATTTTTATTTATTGGATTTTAGTTATTGTCTCGCTGCAGCTGCCTGGCAACAATCTCCTGCTGTATGCCATCCTAGGTTGTCGTCTAGTTGCATACTTGCAGCAGCTCCTTGTGGCTAATTTTTTCACGATCTTCTTCTTTGACTTTGGCTATTTTATAAAAATCGGCGATCATGTTTGGCATCGTGTAATCCATCTCGTTTGCCGACATGAGTACTACGTATTTATGTGTGTATGTATGTGTGAGTGAGTGAGTTTCTCATGCTATATAGACACGTATACTCGATTTAAATGAATTTCTTTTTTTTTTTCTACCCTTTTTCATGCCACTCAGCACACCGAAAGGTACCTGCTGTTGCTTGCTTATTGCCTGCCGTATGCTGTTGTCGTCTGCATCGCTGTTGTTGGGCTTGCATTCCCGACTTGGTCTGTAGTATTTTTTCTGGCTCAAATACTTTGTTGTATTGTTTTCCATTACATTTATTTCGATTTTCTCCTGCGTGCCACCACCACCCAACGTCAGCCGCCTGCCGCATGTCTTCATACTGCTTGTCTGCGTCTCTATCCTGTCAACCGGCTGGCCGGCAGAGTTTACTTCGCGTTTTGTCGTTTAGCTTGTTGCATGCCAATAGTGTCGCATCTGTTTCTGTTGCCTGCTATGGTACTTTGCTTTTTTTTTATTTTTATTATTTTTTTTTTTTTTTGCGTTTTGTAGACGCATCTTCCATGCGATTTCCTGCCGCCAACAGCCATTCACTTCTACTTCTTTCTGGTTTTTTTTTTTTTGTCGTAATGTCACTTTGTTGCAATTTAAATTCCTTTTGATTATTCAAAGCGATAAAATTGTTTTGTGTCCTGCGACAAGTACAAAAACAACAACAACAACAATATCAACAATAGCAATAGCAATATCAATAACAAGAAGTGTACACAAGAACAACTGAAAAACTCGGCATGTTGCACATCAATCGCGGTTAGCACATACAAACAACATTGACTTGTGTCAACTGGCCGCGACCACACAGGGTGTGCACTGCTGTGCGGGCGAGGGTGGGCACTTAAAAAGCTATGACTAGATAAGAGACATGCAAAACTGGTTGTTCGGTCGATATTGGTTTGATCAGTGCGGAATAAGCTGAAAATAATACAAATTTTCGCCATTTTCAGTGGATTATCCTCGGAGTTGAACGCTTTTCCTGTTTGTGTTTGACATAAGAAAGTACGTTTTAAAGACACTTGCAAACTTCAAATCAATTTCTATTTTAATTTTACGTTACTTTTATGTAAAATATTTCAACTACAAACTACAGGCCATAAAACGTTCAATACCTCGACCCGGTAAACCCTGAGAGCATTGAATTCATTAATTTGTTTGAATATTTTTTCTTCTTCTTCTTCTAATTTTGTTTTCCATTTTCACTCGCCTTTTGTACCTACCGGCCAGACAGCCAAGAGCTAGCATTTTTATTTCATTTCATTTTTTATTTCCCAGCTCCAGTGTCACTTGTTAATCGGCATTTGAAGCGCATATTACACCGCAGCATTGACCTGCAGCATTTTCTCTCTACTCATTGCCACACATTACCAACTTCTCACATTTCCAATACGAAAATTCTCATATCAACAGCTGCTTCACCTACTTGCTTACCTGCCTACCTGCCATTCGTCGATTGTTTTTAGTACCTTTTTTTTAATGATTTTCAATGCCCATTCAATGCTTTTCTGTATATTAATGTTTTGTTTGTTGCATATACATACTTAGTGTGGCATACAATTCGTGTTCGTTTTCCCAGGCCCCTCGTAGCATTGATTTATGTTTCCCTTTGCTGCTAAATGGAAAACAAAAACAAAAAAAAAACGGAAAAATTAAATAAAATTACTTTCTCTTCTAGAATTTTTCTCTTTCTTTCTTTGCTTCCAGCACTGCATTGTCTCGTTGCTAGTTTTTCTTAGAAATCACTGCTTTACCTTCTCACTTCAGTTTTATATTGAATTCCTTAATTGAAAATTTCCTTGCCTAGAACTTGTGTGCAACACCTAATAATGTATGATGGTTGCGGTCTAAAAATAAGACAACGTTGCATGCATTTTGTGGAATTTTAATTACACTTTTTCATGCGCATCAAATAAAAAAGGGAAAAATCTACCGTCTGTCTGTCCATCTGTCTGTCTGCCTGCCTGCCTCTGCTTTGCTGCATCTTCTTACACAACCATACAGTCTTCTTTTATCCATAGAAAATCGAAATAACTCCTACATCATCCTAATGATTTAACATTGCCGCACGATTTTTCATTTTTCATTTTCCATTTCGTTGCAAGCAACAACGCAGCAGCAGCAGCAGCAGTAGACTGCTGCATTAAAAGATTATACCTGCAATCTGAGTGACTGCCTGTCTGCCTGCTTGCATGCCTACATGCCAATAATGCGCAACGCCTCTTGTTTTCAGCCGCTCAGCCGTTGTGGCATGCATGCATTTCACTTTTTCTGTGTCTGCAACTACTTGCATATCCCGCCGTTGTTTTGCGTGCATGTCCTGCTGTGCGCATCCTGTTGCGATTTTCAACTTCTCCTTTCACATGTCCATACTACCCGACTATACACTTGTGGTATTGCCTGCCACCTTCGCCGCCAACAAGTTGCTGCTTGGATGCTGTTTTCTCCTTCTCTCATTTTTGATATATGCACTGTATGCTGACTTTGCAACGCTGTATGTTGTATGCATGTCGTTTGTAGATTTTTATCGCGATTTGTAATATTATTGCATTTTTGTAGCAACTTCTTCTCCGTGTCTACAGCCAACCACCACCAACACCACCGCCACCGCCGCCACCAGCAAATGTATCTACAGTCAACTACTCTTCGTCTTGCAGCTCCTTTTGTATTTAACGCGCTTTAATTTTATGCCACATGACTTGGCACAACGACTCTTGTCAAGGATTAATTTCATTATATTTAAATTGCTGTTGTTTGTTGTTGCGTTAATGCGTGTTTTTTGCGTATTTTTAATTTTATTTTTACTTCTTTGGTTTCTGTATGCAATATCATTTTATCATTACGTTTTCAACTTTTTTACGCC